AGTAAAACAAAACGTTTCTGAAATGAATTATGCCACCTTCAAAAGGAACCTGGATAACTTAATGACAGAAATGACCTTATCAGATGAAGAGTTCCACATGCGGCTGGAGAGTATTACTCAGTGCTGTGAAGTCCAAAACTTCTCTAAAGAATTAACAGACAAGATGTACGACCATCTGATGACGGAGCAGATATATCACATGCCAGTTGTTCCAAAGGGCAGATGTCTGTCCGACTCCGTCATCTCCAAGATTGAAAAGACAATGGACGGACATCGGAAGAGCTTTTCTCCAGAGGTGCTGTACGCCATGACAGAAGATGCTGTTGGCAAGTTTGTCCAGCAGATCTTCCTGTTCATGATCAAGGACACAGAGCCAATTGCTGAAAATGACAACGCATTAGGAGCACTTCGAGACATCGAGAACCTTCTGAAAGTGGGAATCCCAGCCCCGGAAGACACAAAGGCTGAATCAGAGTCATCCCAAGAGTCAGCGCCACCCTCAAGCCATTTGTCCCAAGCTGCTGGACACGCTGAGGAGGTTATTATTAACCAAGTAGGTGAGGATGTGAACAAAACCGCATGGGTTGAGGATGAGAAGATTGTGGCTGATGAAATAATTGAAGGGCCACCATTTGAAGAAGATGAGAATTTACCCCAGGCAAGCAAAGAGGCGCCTGAACTCTCAGCTGAGACTCTGAAAAACAGCCTGGCCATGGCGCTGCTTCTCAGGCTTTTGTCAAAGTGTGAAACTGACCACAAAAATGTTAAAGACGAAATCGTCGAAGTCAAGAGAAGGCTTTTATTCTTGGTGGTGCCAGCGAATGATACTGAGAACTGTGACCCCACCGTGGATGAAGATAACCTGAAAGATGTTCTGAATGTCGGCATAAAGGCACTCATGAAAAGATTTGGCTCAGTGGAAAACCTACTGGATGCAGCCATGGCAGTAGACAGCACAGATTTTGATATGGCGCTAATTACCACTCTGGAATATGAGTTAGATGTCACAAGGACCAAGAAGAAGAACAAAATAAGAAGATTTTTTTCTGCAATTGGAAATAAGATGGAGAGGGCAGTTAGATTTCTGAAGAAAACTTTTGGGAACTTATAATACCCATCACAGGCAGAAGGCACTGTTAAGATTCTTTTTTCATTTTTATCTTGAATGCAGCATATCACACTTTCTTCCTAAATTAATACATTTATTTTAGGGGAAGATGAGATTGGGCAACTTAGGCTTTTTTGGGTAGTTGGAGAGGGCTGTCAGTTTCTTGAGAAGCAACTTTTGGTATTTGCAGACCTCCCTAAGACCCACCACAGACAGAAAATGCATTTTAATGTAATTTCAATATCTGTTTTTATTTTTATCATCATGTCATATGCAGCATATCACACCTTCCTCTAAATGAGTTGGACTAGATTTGGTGGAAGGTGGGATAGGGCAAACAAGACATTTATTTTTCTTCAACTTCTTTTTCTTTATTTCTAATTGCAAATGAAAAAATAAAAAAAACAAAGCAAACAAAAAAACTGTGTCAATAATGTTATTCTCATTGTGTTCACTTCTTAGATGATGTAAACTGATATTACTGTACATTTTATGAAGCCTTTGATGGATGGATGGATGGATGGATGGATGGATGGATGGATGGATGGAT